TGGGTTCATGGGTTCATGGGTTCACGGGTTCACGGGTTCACGGGTTCATGGGTTCATGGGTTCATGGGTTCATGGGTTCATGGGGTCATGGGGTCATGGGGTCATGGGTTCACAGGTTCATGGGTTCATGGGTTCATGGGTTCATGGGGTCATGGGTTCATGGGTTCACGGGTTCATGGGTTCACGGGTTCATGGGTTCATGGGTTCAGGGGTTCATGGATTCAGGGGTTTATGGGTTCATGGGTTCAGGGGTTTAGGGGTTTAGGGGTTAATGGATTCAGGGGTTTAGGGGTTCATGGGTTTAGGGGTTTAGACAGAATGACAGGGGCGGTGGGGATGGGATCTTAGGATTGACATGGGCGGGGGGGGCGGGTTCAGATGCGATTCATCGGGGCTGTGGGGATGGGTTGGATTGACATGGGCTGGGGGGTTGGGTTCAAATAGGGCTGCCATGGGATAAGATCGACATTGGGGGGGATGGGGTGATCTCAGATTGACATGGGCAGGGGCAAATGGGGTGATGTCGGAATGACATAGCCAAAAAGGTGAAATCAGTGAGCGACCCACCTCACCTGGTTGGGATGGCAAGTGCAGAGGGTGCTGCAAGCAAGGCGCTGCGTGTCAGCTCATGACCAGCCAGGTCAGCTCATGACCAGCCAGGTCAGCTCATGACCAGCCAGGTCAGCTCATGACCAGCCAGGTCAGCTCATGACCAGCCAGGTCAGCTCATGACCAGCCAGGTCAGCTCATGACCAGCCATGTCAGCTCATGACCAGCTATGTCAGCTCATGACCAGCTATGTCAGCTCATGACCAGCTATGTCAGCTCATGACCAGCTATGTCAGCTCATGACCAGCCAGGTCAGCTCATGACCAGCCAGGTCAGCTCATGACCAGCCAGGTCAGCTCATGACCAGCCAGGTCAGCTCATGACCAGCCAGGTCAGCTCATGACCCACCAGGTCAGCTCATGACCAGCCAGGTCAGCTTAGCTCATGACCGGATCAGCCGAATGAGCCAGGTGAGCTTATCCTGACTTGATCAATCAGCCCAATCACCGAGATAGGCCGATGAGGAATGTCAGCTCATTTCGAAGTCGAGTTGTATATTGCTGATTCATTCGTGTATGTCAAGATTCTTTTGCACTCTCCTCTTACCTCGGGATTGAGGCGCCGTGATTGGCGGAGAGAGGCACTGAGCAACCCAACGGCTGCACTGAGCGACCCGACGGCTGGATGGGCATGGGGGGCACGGAACGAGGAGGGCGGACTGAAAGGGGCAGAACGAGCGGGGTGGAACGGGGGGGCGGAGTGAAAGGGGGATGAGATGGTGGGGTGATGCGCATGATTGGAAATAAACAATCTCACACTGAATCAACAAAGTGGCGCGTGAGTCAACAGAGATCCACAAATGAGCAAAATGCAAAGAAAATAAATATAAACAAAATGAAATAAAAACCGTTAAATAGGGCTGATTGACTAACTGCACTGCACCTTTAGCTCGCACTGACCTGGGCAGCGCAGGGTGGGGAGAAAGGGTGGACACGAAGGGTGTGCGGAGGGCCATGGCGTGCGGCAGTGAGGAGACGAGCAGCAGCGCGGCGTTTCAATGGCGACCGCCTTCCTTTGCTCCTATGCTGTGTGCTCTAATACAAATGAACGAAGTGTGCTTCAAATCCTTGTGCAAAGGTTCGAAGCGGTGAAATTGGGTAACAACCAGTCCCCGCAAGCAGGTTCGGTCAAGGGAGTTGGGTGGGGTTGGGGTTGGGGTACGGAAGGGACGCGGCGTGCCGTGATGTGATGTGATGTGAGGGTGGGAACCGGTGGTCAACCACCACAAGTGCCTGCGACGGTCGCGAACGCGAGCGTGAGCGCGCCGAGCCAGTCATGGTCGCTTCGCTAGCTGCAGGTTTGCAACGAAAGTAGCCTCGTCAGCCACAATCGATTCGCTAGCTGCAATGTTACAACGAACGGCGTCGATTCAGTCACACACGCTCCGCTAGCTGTAAGCTTACAACGAAAGGCATTGAATCAACACGCTCACTTCGCTAGCTGCACGTTCACAATGAGAGGCGCCACGTCAGCCACTCTCGCTACGCAAGCTGCAAGTTTACACCCTGTTTCTCAACGTTCTGACAATCGGGAGCCCGGGCTACAGTGCGAACGTGCGCTTGGATTTTGCGGGCTGGTGATTGCAGCCGAACCCCAGGTAGGTGGCGGGCAAATGCAGTCCATTTGAACGATACAAATCGTTTGATGACAGAACATTGTTATCGCGTACGGTTGAGTGCGGCAAATTGTGCTAATATGCAATGTTCTGGGACCGTTTTGGACGTGTTGATGTCAGAATAGGCGGCATGTCAATACAGCGAATGTCAGTGTGGCGCGAAACGGGATGTACATCAAAGGGCGTCTAGTCAACCGTGCTCGCTTCGCCAGCTGCACATTTACAACGAGAGGCGCCACGTCAGCCACGCTCGCTACGCTAGCTCCAAGTTTACATCGAAGGGCGGCGCTGAGTCGCCACGCTCGCTTCGCTTCGCTAGCTGCGCCGCCTTGCTTGCTTTGCTAGCTAAATGCACCGGACAATTCGAGTTGCGATCTCATTTTCCCAGTGCGGGTTTGCAAATGCAATATTTTCGGGCAGAACCAAGCGGCTGCCCGTGTTTAGGGTTGGGGCTCCTCGTGTTTAGGGTTGGAGCTCCCCTAGTCGCATGCCATCCAGATGGGGTTTATTTTTTTCAGACCGCGGGCAGATTACGACCCATCAGCTTCTTCCAGGCGGACGGTTAGGGATCGCATCTGGCTTTATTAGATTGCAGCTGAAGTTGTCGCCTAAATGCACATCTGAGATTCACGCACGCACCAAGAGCTGCAATTGCAGCTCGGTAGAATGCCAATGGGCAAAATGCGAGAGAATTTCTCCAGACCCCGAAACGGTGATTTGCCGTTGCACACGTGGCCTCGAATTGCTACCGTGGTCGGACAATTCGATGATAATTGCTCGAGTGGTCTTGCCAAGGTTGCCTCTGGCTTTTTTTTTATCCGGCACATTACCCAAAACCGGTTTTTAGCCCAGAAATTTTTACGTCGAACGTGTCTCTTCCCGCGAAAGTATGGCGTACCCGGAAAGACGTGCACGAGGGCGGCGTCGTCACTGTTCGGATACGCGACAAAAATCAGCACAGTCATCTAGGCAAACAGTTGCGCTCAATTTCGGTCCATATCATAACCAATCCGTGCATAGTTATATGATTCCACGGTTATATATTCAGTTGGACGGATGTCAGTACGCGCGACCAATTACAGAGTGCGCCTGATTGGTCGACTTTATGCGCGGGGCCTTTTCTGACCTTGCGCGTCCAATCAGACGCGGTCATGTAAGATCGCGCTCATATAAAACCGCGCATTTACCTTTATGAGCGCGCATGTGTGATGCTCGAATGTGTGTATGATCTGTTTTATTAATCTAAAACTATATTAATAAATTCGAGAGACAATATCACTATCGCGTTTTGCCATTATACCTATATCTGTTAGAACATTATAGCTTATACATTTGTGTAGGCTGTAGTGGGGTAGCCCATAAGAGGTACAACCCAATTAGGGTTAGTACTTGTACCCAACTGTTTCATAGTTCAATCATTCCTCGTTTCTTCTCATGGTATCAGAGCAGGTTCCCTAGTGGGAACGATTCCTAGGGCCCACCACCACGAACTTTTTTTTTCTCCTGCCCGGAGCGCGCTTCGCTCCGGCCCGAATCGCGCCCCGTGTGTGTCAGAACATTATAGCTTATGCTTTTGTGTAGGCTGTAGTGGGGTAGCCCATATGGGGTACAACCCAATTAGGGTTAGTACTTGTACCCAACTGTTTCATAGTTCATTCATTCTCGTTTCAATTCTCACATGGTATCGAGCAGGTTCCCTCGTGGGAACTGTTCCTAGGGCCCACCAATTCGACATTTTTTTTCCTGCCCGGAGCGCGCTCAGCCCTAGCCCGAGTCGCGCTCCCCCCTTTTCTCGCCACGTCGCGCCGCCCTAGCGGCCCCGTCGCCTGCCTTGCGGCCCTCGCGCCACCCTTCCTGGCCCCGACCCGCCACCCTGCGGCCTCGTCGCCTACCCCGCGGCCATCGCGCCGCCCTTTTCCGGCCTCGATCCGCCGCCCTGCGGCCTCGTTGCCTAACCAGCGGCCCTCGCGCCGCCCTGCAGCCCTGACGCCGCCCTTACCGGCCCCGGCGCCTACCTGCGGCCCCGACGCCTACCTGTGCGGCCCCGGCGCCTACCTGCTGGCCCCGCCACCTACGTGCGGCCCCGCCACCTACCCGCGGCCCCGCCACCTACCTGTGCGGCCCCGGCAACTACCTGCTGGCCCCGCCACCAACCTGCGGCCCCGCCACCTACCAGCGGCCCTGCCACCTACCTGTGGCCGCGCCACCTACCTGTGCGGCCCCGGCACCTACCTGCTGGCCCCGCCACCTACCTGCGGCCCCGTCACCTACCAGCGGCCCCGCCACCTACCTGCGGCCCCGCCACCTACCCGCGGCTCCGCCACCTACTTGTGCGGCCCCAGCGCCTACCTGCGGCCCCGCCACCTGCCTGCGGCCCCGCCACCTACCTACGGCCCCGCCACCAACCAGCGGCCCCGCCATCTACCTTCGGCCCCGCAGCCTACCTTTGCGGCCCCGCCGCCTCCTCTCAGCGGCCCCGCCGCCTCCTCCCAGCGGCCCCGGACGCCCTCTCAGCGGCCCCGCCGGACCACCCAGCAGCCGAGTCGCCCAGCAGCCGAGCCACCCAGCAGCCGAGCCGCCCAGCCGCCGAGCCGCCCAGCAGCCGAGCAGCCGAGCCGCCGAGCCGCCCAGCAGCCGAGCCGCCGAGCCGCCCAGCAGCCGAGTCGCCGAGTCGCCCTGCAGCCGAGCCGCCCCAGCTGCCCTGTCCAGTAAGAGCAGCGCCTCTTTCAGAGCACTGCCCTCACCCTACTGTTTGCGCTGCTAGTCTACTGCTGTCATGGCTACCCCTAGTGTCCTCGCTTTTGACGCTGAGGGTCGAGCCATTGACTTTGACGTCTGGATAGATGACCTGCAGCTTTTCTTACAGTGCTATAGGGCAGACGGTCTCTCTCTCTTTGACCTCACCTCAGGTGCCTCTCTTGCCCCTGCTGCTGATGCTAACGCCACTGTTCGCTCACAGTGGGCCACACGCGATGCTGCTGCACGTCTTGCTGTGCGTCGCCACCTGCCTACCACTGAGTGTGCGCACTTTAGCCAGTACAAGAGTGCTCAGACCTTGTACGCCGCTGTAGTTGCACCCTACTCCTCCCCTGCCACTGCTGCACTGGGCCACCTCATGCTACCGTACCTCTTTCCTGACCTTGCTGCCTTTCCCACAGTCGCTGACCTCATTACGCACCTCCGCACTAGTGACACTCGCTACCGCGCTGCGCTTCCTGCTGAGTTCTGCGCCAAGAACCCCCCCCCATGTACATCACCCTCTACTACATAGTCAACCGGCTCCCTGACTCCCTTCGCGTAGTTAGGGACCACTTCCTCTCAGTTTGCCCCACCACTCTCACCGTTGACCTCCTCGAGAAGGCCCTCCTAGCAGCAGAGAAGAGCATAGTCGCTGTAGGAGCCTCTCGTGGTGACCCTCGCACCCCCATCTTTGAGGGGTGTTCCCCCTCCCCCCTTTTGCCCTCTGTTGCCTCTGCTGCTGCGGCCGACCTCGTTGGTCTTGAGTCGGTCGGTGCGGCGTCTACCCCTAGCGGGAGACGCCGCCCTGGCAAGGGCAAGGGGGGCAGGGGCGCTGGAGGAGCTAGCGGGGGCGGTGGAGGCGGCGGTGGAGGCGGCGGAGGGAGTGGGGGTGGCGGTGGGGGTGGTGGTGGGAGTGGAGGTGTCGGTGGCGGGAGTGGAGGCGGAGGAGGCGGCGGCGGTGGTGGTGGGAGCAGAGGTGGCGGAGGTGGCGGCGGCGGAGGAGGTGGAGCTGGTCGGGGTGGCGCTACGCAGAGGGTCGGCTCCGGTGGTGGTCAGCGCCAGCAACAGCAGCAGCAACAGCGCACTCGTGACATCCCCCCCCCTCAGCAGCTCCGTGAGTGGTACGCTGCACGCCAGCGGGGTGGGGGTACTGGTCCGTGCACCTACGTCCTCCGCACCGGCGACCGCACGGGTGAGCAGTGTGGGGGTGCGCACCCCACCCAGCGCTGCTTTGGCCGCCTGTCGGACGCTTGGCGTCACCAGTTTCCGGAGGCCACGGAGATCCCCCGCTGGGGTGAGCTGTCTAGGGCGGGCGTAGCTATCTTTGATCTTGACTTTGATGCTGTTCTTGTTGCCATGTATGCTGTGACTATTAGTGATGAGGGTGACTGTTACCGGTGTTTCCCGCCCGGCCCGGGCATTGGGACTGCTGCTCTAGGTACTGGTGAGGCTGCTGCTCTAGGTGCTAGCGAGGCTGCTGCTCTAGGTGCTAGTGCGTCTGCTTCCTCAGGTACTGGTGAGTCCGCGCTCTCAGGTACCGAGTCCGCTTTGGCCTCCCTCACCTTCACCCTTGACTCGGGGGCGTCTCGCTCCTTCTTTCGAGACCGCACCACACTCATGCCGCTTGGTCGGCCAGTTGCGGTCTCTCTAGCGGACCCCTCTGGGGGTCCTGTCCTTGCTCACTTCTCCACTGTCCTCCCGTGTCCGGCGGCTCCCTCTGGCACCCTGTCTGGTCTTTACCTTCCCTCGTTCTCTACGAACTTGGTGAGTGGCGCTGACCTTCAGGATGGGGGAGTTCACGAGTTCACTCCTGCGAGCCAGCGAGTGACCCACTGCACGGACGCTCGGACGGGCCGACACTTGGCCACGTTTACTCGTCGGCCGGGGTCGAACCTGTACACACTGTCTACTACGTCTCCATCTGTCCCTGCGTCCGGTCAGGTAGCTACGTCGGGTCAGGTGTTTGCTGCAGCGTCCGGGTCTCGTCCTGAGTCTGCCGCCTGCTCGTGTCGCCTCCTGTCTCACGAGACTCTCCTTTGGCACCACCGCCTTGGTCACCCCTCCCTGCTTCGTCTCCGAGGCATGGCCTCCCGTGTCATTGTCTCTGGTCTTCCCCGGTCCCTCCCTCCCCTTCCTCTGGGGCCTGGCCCTACCTGCGTCCCCTGTGTCGAGGGGCGGCAGCGGGCTGCCCCTCACACCTCCCAGTTTCCTCCGACGGAGGCCCCGCTGCAGACGCTTCACATGGACGTGTGGGGCCCGGCCCGCGTTCCTGGGCAGGGTCACGAGCGCTACTTCCTGTTGGTGGTTGAAGACTACTCGCGTTACACCACAGTCTTCCCCTTGCGCAGCAAGGGTGATGTCACTGAGGTGTTGATCGACTGGATCCGCGCAGCTCGTCTCCAGCTCAGGCAGAGCTTCGGCTCGGACTTTCCTGTTCTGCGTCTGCACTCTGACAGAGGCGGAGAGTTCTCATCTGGCCTTCTGCGAGCCTACTGTCGTGCGCGAGGCATCCGCCAGACCTTTACGCTTCCGGAATCTCCACAGCAAAATGGGATTGCTGAGCGCCGCATTGGCATAGTCATGGACGCCGCTCGTACGTCCATGATGCATGCGGCTGCCCCCCATTTTCTGTGGCCGTTTGCGGTTCGGTACGCGGCGCATTAGATCAACCTTCACCCCAGGGTCTCCATGCCGGAGACCTCCCCAGCCTTGCTGTGGACGGGGAAGGTTGGCGATGCGTTTGCGTTCCGTGTCTGGGGATCTCGGGCGTTTGTCCGCGACTTGTCTGCGGACAAGTTGTCCCCTCGTGCTGCTCCTTGCGTCTTCCTAGGTTTCCCCCCTGACGCGCCAGGGTGGCAGTTCTACCACCCCACCTCTCGCCGTGTTCTATCCTCCCAGGACGTCACGTTTGACGAGTCAGTCCCCTACTACCCCTTCTTCCCCTACCGCACTCCGTCCCTCCCCCTGCCGCCGCTCTTCCTTGTACCAGGTCCCCCTCCGGTAGACCCCCTCCCCCCTCAGGGTCCGTCCCCTTCAGATGTGTCCCAGGTAGACGCAGTCGAGCCTGTCGAGGTCACTGGTGACTCTGGTGCTGAGCCTGGGGGTGCTGACTCTAGAGGTGCTGTGCGTGTGCGTGCTACACCTGGGGGTACTGAGACTGGGGGTGCTGAGCCTGGGGGTACTGAGACTGGGGGTGCTGAGACTGGGGGTACTAGGCCTGGGGGTGCTGAGCCGGGGGGTACTACGCCTGGGGGTGCTAAGCCTGGGGGTGCTACGATAGGAGGTACTGAGCTTGAGGGAGCTGGGCCTGTTTGTGAGGCGTCCGGCGGTGCTGGGCCTCGAGGTTCTCTGGGTGCTTCATCTCGGCGGGAGCCCCTCTCTCCACAGGAGCTGCGCGAGTGGTTTGGCCGACGCTGGAGGCGTACTACTGGAGCTAGGGTTTCTTCGGCTGCTGAGGGTGCTAGTGCTGCCGGTCCTGGAGGTGCTCGTACGGAAGGTACTGGAGCTGCTGGGCCGGCGGGTGCGTCTGGAGCTGGAGCTGCTGCGGGTGTTGGCGCTGAGGCTACTGCTGTCCGTCCTGGTGGCGGTGCTGCTGGAGTTACTGGAGCTGGAAGTGCTGTTGGCGCTGGTGCTGCCGCTGGGGGTGCTGGTGCTGTCCCTGCTGTGTCAGGAGTTGCCGCGCGGCCTCGGCCGTAGTTTGTTCCGCTCCTTCAGCAGGTTCTTGGTCTCCCGCCTTCTACTGGTTCTCCTCCTCCCTAAGAGTGTCCACAGCCTGTCCCGTCACAGTTCCGGTTACAGCCGGCCTCCCCGCTGCCTCCTCCTTCTCCCTACACTGGTCCTACTGGAGGTCTTGCTAAGCGTCGTGAGCCTGCATCTCGCCCTGCGTCGCCTGTCCGTGCTGCTCGCACGAGTGGTCGCAGTTCGCGTCAGCGTCCTCCTCCTGTCCCTGGCACGCACCGGATGTCTCTGCGTCCGTCCACTGCTCCTCTGCGTGTCCCTTTGCCTTCTCCTCCTGAGTCTTCTCTTCCTGCTCTTGCCGACCCAGAGTCGGACTCTCTTCGTGCTGCCAGTCCTACTGTCACGCGTCTCCTTGCTACTGTCGTCACTGACCCTTCTTTTGAGTCCACTACTGCGTCTGCCCTAGTTGCTGAGCTCGTCGACTTTGCTGCTCGCTGTCGTCTAGACTACAATGCTAGTCTTGTCGCTGAGTCTGAGTCTGTCTGTCCTCCGTCCGTCGGGGGTGAGTGTGCCCTTGGCACGGACGTCCTTGAGGACAGGCAGGAGGAGTTCCAGTGTCTGGCTGCTGCTTCACCTCATCTGGTGTGCGTACTGCTTACCCCTAAGGGAGACCCGGATGCACTTGACATCCCGACTCCGCACTCTTACGCGGAGGCGATAGAGGGTCCCTACTTCTCTCAGTGGTAGGCAGCTATGGATGCAGAGATGGCTTCCTGGAAGTCCACAGGCACCTACGTTGACGAACTTACCCCACCTGGGGCGAACATCTTCAGTGGCATGTGGATTTTCAGGGTGAAGCGGCCGCCGGGTTCCCCCCCCTGTCTTCAAGGCGCGGTATGTGGCTCGTGGCTTCAGTCAGCGGCAGGGAGTTGACTACTTTCAGACCTTCTCTCCCACCCCGAAGATGACCACTCTTCGGGTGCTGCTGCACATAGCCGCTCAGCGCGACTACGAGCTTCACTCTCTTGACTTCAGCACTACTTTCTTGCAGGGTAGCCTGCACGAGGAGATCTCGCTGCGCCGCCCACTTGGCTTCACAGGGACTTTTCCTCGTGGCACCCAGTGGAGCCTCCGGCGGCCAATCTACGGTCTTCGCCAGACACCGCGCGATTGGCACGACACACTGAGGACTACGCTTGCGGCTCTTGGGTTTGCTCCCTCTACTGCTGACCCGTCGCTGTTTCTGCGCACCGACACTTCTTTGCCGCCGTTCTACATCCTCGTGTACGTCGCCGACTTGGTCTTTGCCACAGCTGACACTGCTGGACTCGCCCACGTGAAGTCCGAGCTGCAAGAGAGACACACGTGCACAGACCTGGGTGAACTGCGCAGCTACCTTGGCTTGCAGATCACCCGGGACATAGCACAGCGCACCATTACCCTGACTCAATCACACATGGTGCAGCAGGTCCTTCAGCGCTTCGGCTTCACGTACTCCTCGCCTCAGGCCACTCCTCTGCCTACTCGTCACTCGCTCTCAGCTCTACCTTCGGATGAGTCCGTAGAGTCGAGTGGCCCGTACCCAGAGCTTGTTGGCTGCCTCATGTACCTGATGACCTGCACTCGACCTGACCTTGCATACCCTCTAAGCATTCTCGCACGTTATGTTGCTCCTGGGAGACACAGATCGGAGCATATGGCTGCAGGGAAGAGGGTGTTGCGCTACTTGTGCAGTACGTCGGGCATGGGGCTTGTGCTTGGAGGGCGGAGTCCAGTGGTCCTCACTGGGCACGCAGACGCTTCTTGGGCGGACGACCAGGCTACGCAGCGGTCGTCACAGGGTTACACCTTCAGCCTTGGTTCCGGCTCTGTTTTGTGGCGGGCTATCCGCTCGTCTTCTGTTCTCGGCTCCAGTTGTGAGGGTGAGATCTACGCCGGGGCCATGGCTGCACAGGAGCTTCGCTGGCTCACCTACCTGCTGACTGACTTTGGAGAGGTGCCTCGTTCTCCTCCAGTGCTATACGTAGACAACAAGGCCATGCTGGCCTTGTGATGAGAGCAGAGACTGGAGCACAGAACGAAGCACATTGCTCTTCGCTACTTCCTTGCTCGTGAGCTGCAGCAGCGTGGTCAGCTGTGTCTTGCGTACGTGACCTCTGAGGCCAACACTGCTGATGTCTTCACCAAGGCACTTGCACCTTGTGATCATCAGCGCTTCTGTACTCAGCTTGGTCTTGTGCCTGTCTTGCCTCACTTGCTCACCTCTTGACCTTGCTTGTACTGTTACATATATATACACCTGCTCTTGCTTGTCTAGCTTTCTATATATATATGTACTCCTGCATGTGAACTGGCCTTGTGGCCTTGAACTTGTGCTCGGAATGTGTGGTGACTTTGTGATCCACCCTGAGCTTGCTTTGCTTTGCTTTGCTTTACTGGTCTTGTGACCGCTTGTTCTCCCCCACTTTGCCTATGGGGGTTTGTCAGAACATTGTAGCTTATGCTTTTGTGTAGGCTGTAGTGGGATAGCCCATATGGGGTACAACCCAATTAGGGTTAGTACTTGTACCCAATTGTTTCATAGTTCATTCATTCTCGTTTCAATTCTCACAGTGTGCTCTCCCTACCGTCGCGCCCTCGCTAGGCCCCTCACGGCCCGTCGCGTCGCCCTTAGCGGCCCTCTCCCGGCTCCCTAGCGCCGCCCTTACGGCCCGTCGCGCCGCCCTTACGGCCCGTCGCGCCGCCCTTACGGCCCCTCGTGCTGCCCTTACGGCTCCTAACGCCGCCCTTACGGCCCCTCGAGCCGCCCTTTCGGCCCCTTACGGCCTCCTTCCGCCGCCCGTCGGCCCCCTACGGCCCTCTCGCGGCCCCTCGAGCCGCCTTCCGCGGCCTCCTCACGGCCCGTCGCCGCCCTCGGCGGCCCCTCGTGCCGCCCTTCACAGCCCCTCCGCCGCCCTTCGCAGCCCCTAGCGGCCGGCCGCCGCAGTCCCAGAGGCAGCAGCCGCCGCCGTCTCAGCAGAAGCAGTCGCCACAGCTCCTGCAACTGCTGCCGCAGCCATCACCAGCCACACCAGCCGTCGAGCCGCCCAGCAGCCGAGCAGCCGAGCCGCCGAGCCGCCGAGCAGCCGAGCCGCCGAGCCGCCTTGCAGCCGAGCTGCCGAGACGCCGAGCCGCCCAGCTGCTGAGCCGCCAAGTCGCCGCGCCGCCCGAGCCGCCCGAGCCGCCGAGCTGCCCAAGCCGCCGAGTCGCCGAGCCGCAGTAGCTGCCGAGCCGCCAAGCCGCCCGAGCCGCCCTGTCCGGTAAGAGCAGCGCCTCTATCACTACACTGCCCTTACCCTACTATTCGCGCTGCTAGTCTACTGCTGGCATGGCTACCTCTAGTGTCCTCGCCTTTGACGCTGAGGATCGGGCCATTGACTTTGACGTCTGGGTAGATGACCTGCAGCTTTTCTTACAGTGCGATAGGGCAGACGGTCTCTCTCTCTTTGACCTCACCTCAGGTGCCTCTCCTGCCCCTGCTGCTGATGCTGACGCCACTGTTCGCTCACACTGGGCCACACGCAATGCTGCTGCACGTCTTGTTGTGCGTCGCCACCTGCCTACCTCTAAGCGTGCGCACTTTAGCCAGTACAAGAGTGCTCAGACCTTGTACGACGTTGTAGTTGCACGCTACTCCTCCCCTGCCACTGCTGCATTTAGCCGCCTCATGCTACCGTACCTCTTCCCTGACCTTGCTGCCTTCCCCACAGTCGCTGACCTCATTACGCACCTCCGCACTAGTGACACTCGCTACCGCGCTGCGCTTCCTGCTGAGTTCTGCGCCAAGAATCCCCCCCCATGTACATCACCCTCTACTACATAGTCACCCGCCTCCCTGACTCCCTTCGCGTAGTCAGGGACCACTTCCTCTCAGTTTGCCCCACCACTCTCACCGTTGACCTCCTCGAGAAGGCCCTCCTAGCAGCAGAGAAGAGCATAGTCGCTGTAGGAGCCTCTCGTGGTGACCCTCGCACCCCCGTCTTTGATGGGTGTTCCCCCTCCCCCCTTTTGCCCTCTGTTGCCTCTGCTGCTGCGGCCGACCTCGTTGGCTTTGAGTCGGTCGATGCTGCGTCTGCCCCTGGCGAGAGACGCCGCTCTGGCAAGGGCAAGGGGGGCAAGGGCGCTAGAGGGGCTGGCGGGGGCGGTGGAGGTGGCGCTAGAGGCAGTGGAGGGGGTGGGGGTGGTGGTTGGAGTGGTGGCGGGGGTGGAGGTGTAGGTGGCGGCAGTGGAGGCGGAGGCGGAGGCGGCGGTGGCAAAGGCGGCGGTGGCGATGGCGGTGGGAGCGGAGGTGGCGGCGGTGGAGAAGGCGGCGGCGGAGGAGGTGGAGCTGGTTGGGGTGGAGCTACGCAGAGGGTCGGCTCCGGTGGTGGTCAGTGCCAGCAGCAGCAGTAGCAGCAACAGCAGCAGCGCACTCGTGACATCCCCCCCCCTCAGCAGCTCTGTGAGTGGTACGCTGCACGCCAGCGGGGTGGGGGTACTGGTCCGTGCATCTACGTCTTACGCACTGGCGACCGCGCAGGTGAGCAGTGCGGGGGTGCGCACCCCACCCAGCGCTGCTTTGGCCGCCTGACGGACGCTTGGCGCCACCAGTTCCCTGAGGCCACTGAGATCCCTCGCTGGGGCGAGCTGTCTAGGGCGGGCGTAGCTATCTTTGACCTTGACTTTGATGCTATTCTTGCTGCCATGTATGCTAAGACTATTAGTGAGGAGGGTGACTGTTACCGGTGTTTTCCGCCCGACCTGGGCATTGAGACTGCTGCTTTAGGTACTGGTGAGGCTGCTGCTCTAGTTGGTAGCGAGGCTGTTGCTCTAGGTGCCAGTGCGTCTGCTTCCTCAGGTGCTGGTGAGTCTGCGCTCTCAGGTACCACGCCGGCTTCGGCCTCCCACACCTTCACCTTTGACTCGGAGGCTTCTCGCTCCTTCTTCCGAGACTGCACCACACTTTCGCCGCTTGGTTGGCCAGTTGCAGTCTCTCTGGCAGACCCCTCTGGGGGTCCTGTCCTTGCTCACTTCTCCACTGTCCTCCCGTGTCCGGCGGCCCCCTCCGGCACCCTGTCTGGTCTTTACCTCCCCTCGTTCTCTATGAACTTGGTGAGTGGTGCTGACCTACAGGATGCGGGGGTTCACCAGTTCACTCCTGCGCGTCAGCGGGTGACCCACTGCACGGACGCTCGGACAAGCCGACACCTGGCCACGTTTACACGTCGGCCGGGGTCGAGCCTGTACACACTGACCACTGAGTCTCCTTGAGTCACTGCGTCTGGTCAGGTAGCTGCGTCGGGTCAGGTGTTTGCTTCAGCGTCTAGGTCTGGTCCTGAGTCTGCCCCCTGCTCGTGTCGCCTCCTGTCTCACGAGACTCTCCTCTGGCACCACCGCCTTGGTCACCCCTCCCTGCTTCGTCTCCAAGGCATGGCCTCCCGTCTCCTTGTCTCTGGTCTTCCCCGGTCCCTCCCTCCCCTTCCTCCAGGGCGTGCCCCTGCTTGCGTCCCCTGCGTCGAGGGGCGGCAGCGTGCTGCCCCTCACTCCTCCCAGTTTCCGCCGACAGAGGCCCCGCTGCAGACGCTTCACATGGACTTGTGGGGCCCGGCCTGCGTCCGTGGACAGGGTCACGAGCGCTACTTCCTGCTGGTGGTTGACGACTACTCGCGTTACACCACAGTCTTCCCCTTGCGCAGCAAGGGTGATATCACTGAGGTGTTGATCGACTTGATCCGCGCAGCTCGTCTCCAGCTCAGGCAGAGCTTCGGCTCGGACTTCCCTGTTCTGCGTCTGCACTCTAACAGAGGTGGAGAGTTCTCCTCTGGCCTTCTACGAGCCTACTGTCGTGCACGAGGCATCCGCCAGACCTTCACACTTCCGGACTCTCCACAGCAAAATGGGATTGCTGAGCGCCCCATTGGCATGGTCATGGACGTCGCTCATACGTCCATGATGCATGCGGCTGCCCCCCATTTTTTGTGGCCGTTTGCGGTTCGGTACGCGGCGCATCAGATCAACCTTCAGCCCAGGGTCTCCAGGCCGGAGACCTCCCCAGCCTTGCTGTGGATGGGGAAGGTAGGCGATGCGTCTGCGTTCCGTATCCGGGAATCTCGGGCGTTTGTCTGCGACTTGTCTGCGGACAAGCTGTCCCCTCGTGCTGCTCCTTGCGTCTTCCTTGGCTTCCCCCCTGACGCGCCAGGGTGGCAGCTCTACAACCCCACCTCTCGCCGTGTTCTGTCCTCCCAGGACGTCACGTTTGACGGGTCGGTCCCCTACTGCCGCCTCTTCCCCTACCGCACTCCGTCCCTCCCCCCGCCACCGCTCTTCCTTGTGCCAGGTCCCCCCCCCGGTAGACCCCCTCCCCCCTCAGGGTCCGGCCCCTTTAGGTGTGTCCCAGGTAGACGCAATCGAGCCTGTCGAGGTTACTGGTGACTCTGGTGCTGCTGAGCGTGCTGAGCTTGAGGGTGTTGACTCTGGGGGTGCTGAGCGTGTGAGTGCTACGCCTGGGGGTGCTGAGCCAGAGGGTGCTACTACTGGGGGTGCTGAGCCTGGGGGTGCTGGGCGTGGGGGTGCTACTACTGGGGGTGCTGAGCCTGGGGGTGCTGAGCTTGGGGTGCTACGACTGGGGGTGCTGAGCTTGGGGGTGCGGAGCCTGAGGGAGCTGGGCCTGCTCGTGTCGCGTCTGGCGGTACTAAGCCTGCAGGTTCTCCGGGTGCTTCGTCTCGGCGGGAGCCACTCTCTCCACTGGAGCTGCGTGAGTGGTTTTCCCGGCGCTGGAGGCGTGCTGCTGGAGCTGGAGGTTCTTCGGCTGCTGAGGGTGCAAGTGCTGCGGGTCCCGAAGGTGCTCGTACTGGGGGTACTGGAGCTGCTGGGCCCGCGGGTACGACTGGAGCTGGAGCTGCTGAGGGTGTTGGCGCTTAGGTTACTACTGTCAGTCCTGGAGGCGGTCCTGCTGGGGGTGCTACTGGTGCTGCTGGAGGTACTGGAGCTGGAGGTGCTGCTGGCGCTGGTGCTGCCGCTGGGGGTACTAGTGCTGTCCCTGCTATGTCTGGAGTCGCTGCGCGGCCTCGGCCGTACTTCGTTCCGCTCCTTCAGCAGGTTCTTGGTCTCCCGCCTTCTACTGGTCCTCCTCCTCCCTTAGAGTGTCCACAGCCTGTCCTGTCACATTTACAGTTACAGCCGGCCTCCCCACTGCCTGCTCCTTCTCCCTACACTTGTCCTATTGGAGGTCTTGCTGAGCGTCGTGAGCCTGCGTCTCGCCCTGCGTGGCCTGTTCGTACTGCTCGCACTAGTGGTAGTGGTTCGCGTCAGCGTCCTCCCCCTGTCCCTGGCACGCACCGGATGTCTCTGCGTCCGTCCACTGCTCCTCTGCGTGCCCCTTTGCCTTCTCCTCCTGAATCCTCTCTTCCTGCTCTTGCCGACCCGGAGTCGGACACTCTTCGTGGTGCCAGTCCTTCTGTCACGCGTCTCCTTGCTAGTGTCGTCACTGACCCTTCTTTTGAGTCCACTGCTGCGTCTGCCCTAGTTGCTGAGCTCGTCGACTTTGCTGCTCGCTGTCGTCTAGACTACGCGGCTAGTCTTGTCGCTGAATCTGAGTCTGTCTGTCCTCCATCCGTCAGGGGTGAGTGTGCTCTTGGCACGGACGTTCTTGAGGAAAGGCAGGAGGAGTTCTAGTGTTTGGCTGCTGCTTCACCTCATCTCATGTCCGTACTGCTTACCCCTGAGGGAGACCCGGATGCACTTGACATCCCGACTCCGCGCTCTTACGCGGAGGCGATAGAGGGTCCCTACTCCTCTCAGTGGCAGGCAGCTATGGATACAGAGATGGCTTCCTGGAAGTCCACAGGCACCTACGTTGACGAGGTTCCCCCGCCTGGGGCGAACATCGTTCAGTGGCATGTGGATTTACAGGATGAAGCGGCCGCCGGGTTCTCCGCCTGTCTTCAAGGCGCGTTACGTGGCTCGTGGCTTCAGTCAGCGGCCGGGAGTTGACTACTTTCAGACCTTCTCTCCCACCCCGAAGATGACCACTCTTCGGGTACTACTGCACATAGCTGCTCACCGCGACTACGAGCTGCACTCTCTTGACTTCAGCACTGCTTTCTTGCAGGGCAGCCTGCACGAGGAGATCTGGCTGCGTCGCCCACCGGGCTTCACTGGGTCTTTTCCTCGTGGCACCCAGTGGAGCCTCCGGCGGCCAGTCTACGGTCTTCGCCAAGCACCGCGTGAGTGGCACGACACACTTAGGACTACACTTGCGGCTCTTGGGTTTCGCTCCCTCTACTGCCGACCCGTCGCTGTTTCTGCGCACCGACACCTCTTTGCCGCCGTTCTACATCCTCGTGTACGTCAACGACTTGGTCTTTGCCACAGCTGACACTGCTGGACCCGCCCACAGTGAAGTCCGAGCTCCAGAAGAGACACACGTGCACAGACCTGGGTGAACTGCGCAGCTACCTTGGCTTGCAGATCACCCGCGATAGAGCACGCCGCACCATTACCCTGACTCAGTCACACATGGTGCAGCAGGTCCTTCAGCGCTTCGGCTTCACGTACTCCTCGCCTCAGGCCACTCCTCTGCCTACTCGCCACTCGCTCTCAGCTCTGCCTTCGGATGAGTCCATAGAGTCGAGTGGCCCGTACCCAGGAGCTTGTTGGCTTGCCTCATGTACCTGATGACCTGCACTCGACCTGACCTTGCATACCCTCTTAGCATTCTGGCACGCTATGTTGCTCCTGGGAGACACAGACTGGAGCATATGGCTGCACCGAAGAGGGTGTTGCGCTACTTGTGCAGTACGCTGGGCATGGGGCTTGTGCTTGGAGGGCAGAGTCCAGTGGTCCTCACTCGGCATGCAGACGCTTCTTCGGCTGACGACCAGGCTACGCAGCGGTCGTCACAGGGTTACACCTTCAGCCTTGGTTCCGGCTCTGTTTCGTGGCGAGCTACTCGCTCGTCTTCTGTTCTCGGCTCCAGTTGTGAGGCTGAGATCTACGCAGGAGCCATGGCTGCACAGGAGCTTCGCTGGCTCACCTACCTGCTGACTGACCTCGGAGAGCCGCCTCGTTCTCCTCCAGTGCTGTACGTAGACAATAAGCCCATGCTGGCCTTGTGTCGGGAGCAGAGACTGGAGCAAAGAACAAAGCATATTGCTCTCCGCTACTTCCTTGCTCGTGAGCTGCAGCAGCGTGGTCAGCTGCGTCTTGCGTACGTGGCCTCTGAGGTCAACGGTGCTGATGTCTTCACCAAGGCACTTGCGCCTTGTGATCATCAGCGCTTCTGTACTCAGCTGGGTCTTGGACCTGCCTTGCCTCACTTGCTCACCTCTTGACCTTGCTTGTACTGCTACATATATATATACACCTGCTCTTGCTTGTCTAGCCTTATATATATATATGTACTCCTGCATATGAACTGGCCTTGTGGCCTTGAACTTGTGCTCGGAATGTGTGGTGACTTTGTGATCCACCCTGAGCTTGCTTTGCTTTGCTTTGCTTGACTGGTCTTGTGACCCCTTGTTCTCCCCCACTTTGCCTATGGGGGTGTGTCAGAACATTATAGCTTATACATTTGTGTAGGCTATAGTGGGGTAGCCCATAAGGGGTACAACCCAATTAGGGTTAGTACTTGTACCCAACTGTTTCATAGTTCAATTATTCCTTGTTTCTTCTCAATATCACGATGTGCGATATAGGTATGCACAGTTTGATATAGGTATAATGGCAAAACGCCGGTAGTGATAACGTCTCTCAAATTTATAAACATAGTTTTATATTAATAAACCAGATCACACACATATTCGAGCATCACATATGCGCGCTCGTATAGGTAAGAATGCGGTTTTATATGAGCGCAATCTTACGTGACCGCGTCTGATTGGACGCACAAGGTCAGAAAAGGCCCCACGCATAACGTCGACCAATCAAGCGCACTCTGTAATTGGTCGCGCGTACTGACATCCGTGCAAGTGAGTATATGATCGGGGAATCATATAACTATGCGCGGATTGGTTACGATATGGACTGAAATTGAGCGCAACTGTTTGCCTAGATTACCGTGCTGATTTTTGTCGCGTATCCGAACAGTGACGGCGCCGCCCTCGTGCACGTCTTTTCGGGTGCGTCATGTCAGTAGATCTGCACTGTGGATGCCCGATTGATCCTGGAGAGTGTTACAGGCGCGTTCGCCTGGGGGGTTATGGGCGCACTGACCCGCTACTGAAACAAGCCCTTTTATCCCAATGGTCTAGTGGTTGGGATTCTGAAATGGTATCAGAGCGGTCTCGGGTTCGATTCCCGGTGTATGCACATGTAGGCCATTGCCGCTGTGCTTAGTCCTGGGCCTCCTATTGTGGGGGGTGTCAGTAGATCTGCACTATGGATGCCCGATTGATCCTGGAGAGGGTTACAGGCGCATTCGCCTGGGGGTTTAAAGGCGCACTGACCCGCTACTGAAACAAGCCCTTTTATCCCATGGTCTAGTGGTTGGGATTCTGACACGTCACACTTTCGCGGGAAGAGACAAGTTCGACGTAAGAATTTCAGGGCTAAAAACCGGTTTTGGGTAATGTGCCTGATAAAAAAAATGCCAGAGGAACCTCTGGCAAGACCACTCGAGCAATTATCATCGAATTGTCCGACCACGGTAGCAATTCAAGGCCACGTGTGCAACGGCAAATCACCGTTTCCGTTTCTGGAGAAATTCTCTCGGCAAATGCGAATGCTATGCGAAAGCGATTGATGAGCTGCGAAAGAATCTGCAACTTCTCGAGCGAATCGTTCGCTCGGCGAACGTGTGCCCAAGTTCAGGTAACCCTAGCCTACCGTCAAATTTGCAGTGCTGCTCCTAGGTAATGCCACGTGTGTACACTACCACTTGGGGAAGGAGGGAGGCAATGGACTGTACTGTACCAGCCCACTCCAGTCCGTTTTGGTTGACGATCCAATGTTTATTAGGGTGACGGGTGCAAACGTTTTGGGAAGACCTCGCCCGAATCCCTCTGAGGAAACCTTTCGCCCCTGCGGGTTTTCCTCGGAGGGATTTTCGATTTCCCGCAGTCGCCTAGCGGGGCACGCGAGGGGCGGGAGCCACCCCCCCCCCCTCCCGCCCGAAAACGGGCACCCCCAGCTGGCGCCAGCTGCTGATGACGCCAGCAACCCGCGCCCTCGAGCTGGCTGTGGTCCCCCTCCCAACCGAGCCCAACCCCTCGCTTGGTTCGTGGACGGGTTCCGTCCGGTAACCCACCCATCCTCGCCGAGCGACGCATCGCCGACGGAACCAGTCCGCGAAATTTCGCCGGCCAGACGAAAGCGACGCCCATCTGCGCCGCGCTCCACCCGCTCTCGCCCTAGACGGGCCCGTTTCGTTCAAGCCGCTCGATCTTGGTGACGTGTCGAAGGCCCCCTCCCCGAACCTTGGAAGGGGCCTTTCAGCTGCATGCAAGGCGGCCCACCCTATGCTACCAACAACCAAGTTTCACGTCGAGGCCAATAGGGCCCCGCCGGCCTCCGCGAAGAGCTCCTCCCTCCTCCTCCCGCGTCTCGGAACGCGCCCTGCCTCCTCGCCCTTGAACCCCCCTGGTCCGTCGCGGTGGGAGGGATGGCAAACAACTAATATCCTGCGTTCGGTCTCATTTTGTTGGAATCACTGAACAGGAATGAAACGAACTAGCAGTGAAATGAGTACAAGTACCTAACCCTAGAATTGTGTACCCCCTATAGGCTAACCCACTGTAGCCTAAACTAACACAACATATATAATGTTTGACACACACCCCCCATAGGCAAAGTGGGGGAGAACTAGGGGTCACAAGACCAGTCAAGGCAAAGCAAGGCAAAACAAGCTCAGGGTGGATCTCAAGGATACCACACAAATTCCAAGCACAAGCAAGTGGTCACAAGACCAGTTCACATGCAGGTTTTATAATAGAGCAAAAGGTACAATGATCACAACCTAACAAGAGTAAACATGCAAGTATTATATGGAGATCTCAGTACAAACGGACTCAAGAAGTAAGCAAGTGAGGTCCAGTAGGCACAAGGCCAAGAAGAGTGCAAAAGCGCTGATGGTCACTGTGAGAATAA